GCGCGGCGGCTCTGCGCCTGCGCCCTGGTGCCGCGGGCGCGGCGGCTCTGCGCCTGCGCGGGAGAGGCAGTATGGCATGGACTTGACCTTGGCCCCCTGGAGCTGCGACCTGGGCCTATGGCCGCCTGCGGGCCCTGGGCCTGTAGCTGCATCCTGGCCGTCTAGCTACGTGTTGACCCAGGCCTGAAGCCCATAGCTATGTCCTGGGTGGTGTCCTAGGGGTCCCAACCCCTAGAGCTCCAATTTCCTTCTGGCCGCTAGAGCCACCTCCTATACCCTACAGCCCATGTGTGTAGCTCTGTGCCTCAGCTGCTGAGCCCRGCACTGCAGCTCAGCGCTTAGCTGAGCCCACCTCCCCACCACCCATTGAGCTGCAACCTGAGCTATGCGGGCCGCTCCCTAAGCAGCRGGAAGCCCAGCGACCCTCCCTTTCCATCCTCAAAGGAACCACAAGGGGGGCGTGTAGCAACACTTCTTTTTATTAAAGTTCATTCCAAAATGACCACAATAAATAAAAGGGACGACAAGGAGTCGAGAAGGATGGGGGGGGGTTCCATAGGGGCCCCCCACCCATGTCGTGACACCTGGTGCGCCCCTGGAGCGGGGCAGGGCAGGGGGGGCATGTCACCAAAGGCCAGGTGTCCCCGGGCAGTCACCGCGGGGCACTAGGGCGCGTCATGCCGGTACAGGCGGTCCCGCGTGGCTGCGCTCACCCGCTCCTGGTAGTGTTGCACCTTGTCGCGCACACGCTGGTAGAGCTGGGGGCAACAGCGCAACCCTCAGCAGGTGCACGGGGACGATGAGGAGCAGGAGGCTCCTCTCCCATCCCATCCCGCTCCTCTCCCATCCCGCCACCTACCCCGTGACTCTGCTGGCTCCCGGCACTCTCGCTCAACGCCTGCAGCAGCTGGTCGATGGCTGTGTAGGGCAGCCACACGGCAGCGGCGGTGGCCGAAAGCGGCAGCTGCGGGCAAGGGTAGACCCAGAAGGGCATGAATTTCCCCCAAGGAAGCGGCTCCGAATTAAAAGGAAGCTCCGAATTAAACTGACACCGCTTGGCTGCCCGCCCCTAAGCCCTGGGCACGGGGCAGCTCTAGGCTGTTGCAATGGAGGGAAAGGAGTCAGCATCGCAACACACCCCGTGCTCACCTCAATCCCAAAGTACTGGTGGCCCTTGCCGAGCACGGCATCGATGTACTCCAGCACCAGGTCCACAGCCTCCTCAAGCAGGTCGTAGTTCAGATAGAGGCGCAGCAGCTCAGCAGCATCCACTTTCTGGAAGCAAAGGCCGCTGCTCTCAGCCCCTTGTTGTTATTTTCCCCCTGGGAACTTTATAAGGACTACSAGGATGCTAGAGGAGCCACCCTGAGCCCCAGGAAGAGGCGCTGGGCTCTCAAAGCCAGGGGCAGCCGCCAGGGCGCCAGGGGCCCGTGCCCACCTTGTAGCTGTTGATGAGCCAGGTGGGCAGCGGGATGCCGTGCGCCAAGAGCTTGCTGATGACGCAGCGATGGTAGAGGCTGTTGGGCGCCGGGTAGCGCTCCAGGTAGGACGAGAGCAGGCGCCAGGCTTCATCCGTGGCGCTGCAAAGCAAAACGCCGCCGACGCTGAGGATGTGTGCCAGGATGCTTCCGGCTCCTGCCAAGTGGCGTTCCCCTGCGCTTCGTGGTGGTGGTGGGGACCAGCGCATAGCACTTACCTGCACTCCTTGGTGGTGACCAACGCAGAGAGCTGGTTGGCTGCTAGCCAGTCCCAAGCCTCGGCCTGCGCCGCTTCCCCTCCCAGCTGCAGCTTGATGCACCTGCAAAACACGGGGCGAGCATCAGGACTTGGCCGCGCACGCAGCACGACTTCCGAGCAGCACCTCTGCCTTAACCGGCTCGGCACAGTGGAAAAAGGAGAAAGAAAAGGCTCTTAGAGGGGTTTCTAAGCTCCTCTAAGTGCCAAGGAGGAATTAATGCGCGCTCTGGTGTTGGCGAGCTGGCCAAGAGGCCCTCAGTGCCAGGGCAGGCAGGGCAGAGCTCTGTGCTGCGTGTGGGCGTGCAGGGCCGACGGCAGCGCCAGGAGCGAGCGGCCCAGCTCAGGGAGCTCACGGAGCTGCGTGGTCGGCGCCTCTGACACCTACTTGAACGCGAGTCCCTCAAAGATGGGTGCCAGGGGCAGCTGGAACGTGTGGCACAGGCTGAGGGCGGTGTCGAAGAGGCCAGCGCGCACCAGGAGCGCGGCAGTCTCCTCGGGTGTGGAGCTGCCTGCAGGGCACAGGATGTGGCTGAGCACCCGCCCCATGGGACCAGCCCCATGGGACCCACCCCATGGGACCTGGCCCCTACCTGCCACAGCGGCCGTGGACAGGTCGTGCTGCACCAGCGCCAGCCGGATCTGCGCCAGCACGCACTCCTTCTCCAGGTCCTTCAGCTCCAGGATCTCGATCTTGCGCGTGGCTGTAAGGGGTATAAATTAATGGCATTTGGCTTTAAAGAAAGGACTTCTTGGGGATGGTGCGGAATGCCCCCATCCCTCTGTCAACCTAAGCAGGGCCGAGCACGCGGGGATGAGCTCTGTCTGCTGAGTGTCCAACAGAGGCTTCAGGAGCTGGAAGCTGCCCAAGGCAACGGCTGTGCAGCCCTTCCACAGAGTCACAGGATGGCTGAGGCTGGAAGGGACCTCTGGAGATTATCCAGTCCAGCCTCCGATCCAGCAGGGACACCCAGAGCATGGGGCACTCAGGCACATCCAGGCTGGTTGGGACATCTCCAGAGCAGGAGCCTCCCCAGCCTCCCTGGGCAGCCTGGGCCAGGGCTCAGGCACCCTCGCAGGACAGGGAGCTGCCTGTGTTGCAGTTTGCAACCAATACCCCTTCTCCTGTCACTGGCCACCACTGAGAAGAGCCTGGCCCCTTCCTCCCTACTTTCCCCTTCATGTACTTACACATATTGATCAGATCCCCTCTCAGCCTTCTCTTCTCCAGGCTAAACAGGCCCAACTCACTCAGTCTCTCCTCGTACGAGAGATGCTCCATTCCCTTAATCATCTTGCTTGCCCTATTCCCTGTTCCACTGATGGACGCCAGCACCGAGGGCATTAACGGGCCTCCAATCCCCCAATTAATCTGCTGGAAATGGGGCCCTCCCAAGTCACCTCCCAGCTCCCCAGGGAGTGCGACAGCCCCATGGCAACAGAAGGGCTCCAGAAACATGYGGGAAGGAAATGCTGGGAGCAGGTGCCTACCTGGCACGGCCGTGCACTCCCCGTCGTGGCTTCTCTTTGGGGATGCTCCTGGGCGCTCATACTTCCAGGGAAAAGGGAAGAAGGAAAGAGGGTTTGCATCCAGGCTTCCAAAAGACAACCCCCTCAGGAAGTGCGGCAGAGGGGATTCCTGTGGCCGGCGGGCGCTCTGCACTCCYTACCACGGCTCCTGCGGCGGGCTGCACGATCCAGGCGTACTCGGGGCGGATGAGGCGCAGGCAGTTGACAGCGGCCAGGAAGCAGTGGCCCTGCTTCTGCAGGCCTCGCAGCGTGCGCACCTCCCTGCCGAGCCGCATGCCGTACTCGAACATGACCGTGCCGGCTGCGGAGTGGAGGCACCGGCGTCAGCACCGGCACCGTCCTGCGCACTCCCCACTACCACCGCGCGCCCGCCATGATCCCCACCCTTGCGATAGTTGTGCCGGTAGACGTGGAAGGCATAGAGCAGCTCGTAGTAGTTGTGCGTCATCAGGTCCACCGCTCGAGCGTGCGACTCGATGATCCCCACCACCTGTGGGGCATGGCCAGGCCGGCAGGTTGGGCCCCCGTTCTGCCTGGACCGGGGGATGCTTGGCCCCCCTTGTCCCCATGCCGGAGTGGGGTTAATTAGTTACCTCATTGTGGAGGTTGATGAAGGGGAACTCCACCAGGTCCTGCAGCTGGGARCGCTCACAGAGAACCACCACGAGCTGGCGCAGGCAGTCAAGCTGCCTGCGAGGGCAACATCAACATGGACATGAACATCAACAACATCAACATGGACACAAACAGGCGGCRCTTCCAAGGAGCCACCCCCAGGGCACCCGGCTCGGGAAGCTCCAGGGCTCTTGCGGTCCCCCAGCTGCCATGCCCCTGTCCGATGACTCACACATTGCCAACAGGACACCCTGGCCACGGAGCTGCTCCAGCTGCTCGTCCCTATCCCTCAGCCCCCTTCCCAAGGTTTCCCTCGGCCTCAGGGATGTTAACATACATCCTTCCTTCCCATGGGAAGGCCTGGGATGACAGCCCTGCTGCTCACGCACCCATCTCCGCCAGCCTGATGCATCCGCAGCCCAATACATCTCACTCGGGCCACGATGCCACCCCAGGGCTTTTCCTTAATAGCTAAATTGATGGCACCACTAAAGCTTTTCAAAATACAATGTCACCTCCTGCAGCTCTTGGCCATCAGCTCCTAGTTTGTTGCATTTTATTTTTGGTTTTGCAGCACTCTGTTTTTGACAGTGCTGATCCCAGCTGAACGCAGCAACAGGGGTTGGGTCCTTACAAGGATGAAGCTTTTCTACACGCTTCTGTACAAACTGGAATTGGATCTCTTGCTCAGAGCTCCATCCCACATTAACATCTGCCTTTCCTTTCGCTTCCAAGCAGAATTGGGAAGAGCTCGACACATGGGCACCTCTCCAGCACGGGCAGGTCCAAAGGCACAGAACTGTCACCCACCTGCTCGGGTCCGGGTTTTGCGTTAAGGCCACGTACGCTTCACTGTTATGTCCTAAATCCAAGTGGTGCTTGAAGATGCAGGTCCTCAGGGTAGCCTGCAGACACCAAAGGGCACAAGTGCATCTCAAGATAAGCAAACGAAAAACAAACTCTGCCAGCTTCCCCGAGAGAGCACCGAGGTGCAGCAGCAGCTACGCGTACCTGGCTCCTCCAGTCATCCGCAGCTTCCATGATGGCCAGTGTGGCCAGCTGGATGACCAGTTCTGGTAGCCCAACCATGTCCAGCAAGCGCAGAACCTGAGTGGGACGGCAGCGTGGGGTCAGCTGGAGCTGCACCGGAGCCTTGGAGCAGTGCTGGCGCCACTGGAGAGCCCCRGAATAGGCCTGGCACCCATTCCGTTCAAAAACACATTGGAGGGGCAAGCGCCGCCTCCAAGGGCACCTGGCAACTCTAGCCTTTTGTGCATTTAAAAACCAGGGAATCCGTTACAGGAAGATCCACTCCCAGCTCGCGGCCTGTCTGAACCACTCTACCATGCGAGAGGAAAGACCCCATCTCAGCTCAGAGCCCTTAGGTGCAATTTGCCTCAAAGCTGAAGATCTGGGTGTCTACAAGGCCCCTTGTGCCGCTCCGCGCAGGCCCAGCTCCTGCTTCCAGCAGCAGGACCTCATCTTAGGCATCCCACAGACTCTTAAGCAGCTCCCCAGCAGAACAAATGTGTTTTTAATCCCCCTGCCACCTCCTGCCAAGGTGTGGGCTGAGCAGGWGGCTCTGCGAGGTGCCACAGTGCTGGCCTGGAAGCAGTCGCGTGGCATGGGCCCAGCTCTACCTTGTTGTAGTACTGTAGGCGCGGCGTGGAGACCATCTCGCCCTCCTCAGCCTGGATCAGCCTGTCCAGGAACTCTTCCCTCCCCACCTCGGACGCAGCTTGGCAGAAACAGTCCAGCGCCTGCGGCGACACCAGGAAGCAGCTCACACGGTGCCGTGGGGCAGGACTCACTGCCGAGGGACGGGGTTGCGCAGCCCAGCCCCAACATCAGGGACCTGCTGGCCCCAAGCTGAGAACAGTTTCCCCAGGACAGCAACCCACTGCTCCCCTCGCCGCAGACCTGGGGATGCCCAGCAGGGATGAGGGGGCGCCCACATGGGGAAACCCTCCACCTGCTTCCCCCTCTTTTCCCAGGTTGCGGCCCCTTTGCATGCCCTGGTGGGGAGGCAGGACAGTGCCCTCTTACCTTGTGCCCTTCGCCCATGACCAGGTAGCATCTGCCCATCATGAAGCAGCAGGAGCCCATGTTCACATGGCACCAGGGCTGCAGCAAACGGATGTATTCCTACAGCAAGGAGCAAGAGTTGAGTGTGGGTTGGCACAGACTCCCGAGCCACCACCAGCGGAAAACACGGAGAATTCAAGTCTCTAACCCCCAAAACACTATTCCGGGTGCACCTCTAGCTGCAGTGTTCACAAAATCCCACTCTGAGGGCCACATTCCCCAGCCTCAAAGCCCTTATGGTGCACAGATGAGGAGGGAACCCTCCAGCATGTGTACAAGGCACCAGGAAGAGCACCTGATATCCCTGCAAATTCAATGTGACATTCCCTAATGCTGCCCCATGCCCCGCTGCATGGAGGACAGGAGCAGCTAGGCACCTCCCAGCTCCAATGTTTGGCAGATTTGACCTTCCCATCAGCAGGAATACCAAGAGGAGCAGAGAGCAGAGCAGCCTCGGCYGTAAGAGCTGATGGAGACGTCCCACCCGAACGCACGGGGAAAAACACCCCTTTAGTAAGAGACTGTCTTGTCTCTAATGCACTCTGGGTGCTGGCAGGAAGGGAATGAGAGGTGTCACACGCGCTACAGATGACAAGTCCCACGGTCCGGAACGAGAGCATGAGCAGCCACAACGTCTCTGAAGAGCATGCGAAGGGACAGGACAAGAAACTGTCCTGAAATGGAATGGCCTTGGAATTCTTGAAAATAGGAATCTCACGTTGCCACCAGAGTGTAAAATACGTAACCAGTGATGGGGAGATCAATGGACATTTCTTACCCCACACTTTACTTGTAAGGACATTTGAGATACAAACGAGCCCTCCTGCAATTGCATTTGCTGCTAGAGTGAGGACAGTCTCTCGAATGCCCAGCAGGCTCACGATGGCCCCACAGAGAGGCCGACGAGCTTGCAGGCTCTGCTGTGGCATCTCAGGAAGCTCCACGCTCTCCGACAACCCCTGGGAGGCCGAACCTCAGCACACAGAAGGCTGTGCAGGAGCGCAGAGCGCTCCTGCCTGGGCAGTACTGCCGACACGGCCACGAGCCCCACAGAGCCAGCAGAGGGGAGAGCCAGGGCACGGCCCCGGTGAAGCCGAGTGGCTCTGAGGGATCCGGGCAAGAATCTGGGCAGCAGCCGAGGCAACCGCCTCTGCGTGCAAGGGAAGCAGCAGGGTTATCCCTGGAAAACCACATGTGTAGGACGCCAGGAGTGGTTCCCCAGCACCACCCACCCCACAATGTTTTCCAGAGCTTTGTGGCACAAGCTGTAACAGGAGGCCCTAGGAGGCACTCACCTGCAGCTGGGTGTACTGACAGCTCCCCATCAAGCACTCGGGAAAGAGGAAGCCGGGATTGCTGGGCCACCTGCACAGGGGTTAAGGAGTGGAGCCGAGGCCAGGCTGCGGAGCCGGCCACAACGGTCTGAAGCCCAGTGCAGGGGCTCAGTTTCTTGGGGCAAAAGAGAGAAGATTAAACTGCTCTCTGCACAGCTCATTATTCTGTAATAAGATTTACCCATATTAGAGTTAAAACGTTAGGATTTCTAATCCACAGCTCCCCAAATCCTGTCACCCTTCCAAATCTCCCAGCATCTCTCCTCCCCGGGACAAACATCTAGAACCTGGGACAAGCGTTTAAGAACCCAGGGGCTTAAAGTGGGAAAGCAGCCCCATTCCAGGGCCCCCAAGGGGCAGAGTGGCCAAGGGCCTTGCAGCCAAGGATACAGGAGTGGCAGGAAGTCGGCCACTATGGCGGTGATCAGGTGGGGCCAGTTCAAACTCGTCTCAGCCAGTGAGGCACTCGGTTGTGAGAAGAGTCGGGACACGATGTGTTTCCTGGCCACCTCCTGGAAGAAGAGCTCCACGATGGTCTGGGGGCCGGACACTGCAAGGGAAATTAATGGAGCCGCTGAGCTCCATTTGGGGGTGCCCGCGATGCCCACTGCTCCTGGGCCCTGAGATCTCAGGTAAAGTCAGGGCAGAGCAGAAACACTCCAGGTTGCCTGCTGTTGCAGCAGCGACGGGGGTACCCACTCCAGCTGCACGGTAGGGTCTCCACAGACGCCCAGGGTGGTTTTCCATGCAGCTGAAAAGTTACTCTTTGCTAAAAGGACACTGCTGGGATGGCCAAATCCAGCAGGCACAACTGGAAACTGTTGCACAAAGGGGCCAAACCATCAGGCTCAGTCACGGACCAAGCGCTTAACTTCCTCTGGAAAGAAAGGCCTGACTTAGAGACAGGAAGGTCAAACTCCAAAACCAGGAATCCCCCAAGTTACTAAGTCAAAATTCTCTCGGAACAAAGGCACAGTCAGACTTTTGGGAAAGATTTCACCACGAAGCTTAACAAAGGAACAACAAATAACAAAATAAAAAAGGGTGGCTGCTGAGTGGCAGATGCATCTCACCTAGTTTGTGGGGCGTTATGGCAGTCGTATCCGCCAGTTCCAAGACAGACAGATGCTGCAGGTTGGATTCCCTGCAGGAGAAAGACACACCGGTGAAAACACAGCAAAGRCACCTCATGCTTCAAGGACACCCACTGCCCGGGGCGAGTCGTGGCCTCCCCTGGAAAGGCGACAGAGTCGGCTCCAACGCAGCACAAGGGAGACAAACCCAGTCCCGCAGCGGGGCAGCTGGGCTCCTGTGGCGAGATTCCCACAGGGAGCATCCCTCTCCTCACCCTGGCACCGCCAAGGGGTTTAGCAGATGCCCGCGCAGCCGAAAGGGAAGGTGGGGACTCACAGCGTGTCCACGGGGACGTCCGCAGCGAGGCAGCCGCTCGCCCACCGGATGAGGTAGTAGGAGAGGAGTAGGGGGCACGTGCGGTGTAGCAGGTCCTGGGGAGACGGCAGCAGCTGCCCTCCTGCCAGCAGCGCCTGTGGGGAGGGCAGCAGTGAGTCCAGCAGGACATGGGACATGGGCAGGGCAGYTTTCCCTTCTGGATCAGTGCCGGTGCCGCAGGATGAGGCCGGCGGATGTTTGGGCTACTGAACGGGGCTGTGTGACCCTGCTCCTCTGCTGCAAAGCAGAGGCTGCGGACCAAGCCCTCCTCCCACGCRGGGGAGCAGGGAATGCCGGGCTTTCTACCTCCTGGATCCTCGGAACAGGCACGTGGAGGGCAGCAGCCACGTATGGCTCCGCTTAGCGTGACAGAAGGGGTTGGTGGAGGGACACTGGGCTCATGGAAACCTCCCCGCTCCAGCCGCCCCCGGCATTTCGTCAGAGGAACAACCCCGGAGCCGGTCGCTTGGCAGCCACTGGGGCTCTACTCACAGGCTCCCCAAGGCGCAGCAGGAGCTGCTGGAGGACAAGCAGGTCCCGGCAGACGAGGAAGCGGGTGGTGGCCATCCGGGCCACACCACTGCAGACCACAGCAGCTGCGGTGCTGCTACCCAGGAGCTGCGCCAGGTTCATGCGGCCCAAGAGGGGCTGAGCTGCAATGGGAGAGCGAGGGGCCGACCGTCAGCTGAGGCCAGCCAAGCTCGGCCCCGGAGCGGCCGCCCCACCGGCCGCACGCAGAGTCGTCACCTCGTTCCATGTCCGCGTCCATCTCGTAGTCCATCTCGCGGATGAGCACTCCCATGGCATGGATGGGGTTTCGGATCTCCTGCAGCTTGCTGTGAATCTCCTCCATCACGTTTTCCCTGCGCAGACAGAGAGAGAATCAACAACGTGACGTCTGGACCCAAGAACATACTGTGTCCTCTCCGGAAGGGAGCAGGTGCGCCCAGCTCGGCCATTCCTGAAGGGAATCCTCTTCTGGCTCTGTGGGCCTGCAGGGCCCGATCTCTTTATTCTGCTCCTCCAGGCTACCAGGAAATAAGAGGCGGATAGCTGGCGTTCCAGAGGGCTGGCATTCCAGAGGGCAACGATTCCCGGAGGAGGGAAGCGCAGGAATCGCGTGGCTCGGCTGGGGCTCCAGCCTCTCGCTGGCGTCCCCGCACTCGCCCTCACCCTGCAGAGAGGGCGACGTCCCCACAACTGGCCCTCCTGCTTCGCTCCTTGCCCCCACATGACTGCAATTCCAGTTCCAGAAGGGCCCGAGCAGCAGCTAGGGAGCTCTGGGAGGAGGAGGACGCTGCAACCTCTGTGTCCTCCCGGCTCGGAGGTGGCCTGGAGGAGTCTCCAGGGGCGCAGGAGAAGGCCCCACATCCCCAAATGCAACTGGTGGTTCAGGCAGGACATCTCCTTACGTGTCATTAGCTATCAAGTCCTCCAAGATCTGCTCTGCAGCCTTTTCTGGAGGCTGGAGGCGGGAGCAAGCCATTTCCATTAGGAATGCCATATCCGTGGAAACGGATTCTCCGATCAGCCGAAGGCACTGGACAAGACAGACAACATCACGAGACATCTCCAAATCTGCAAGGAAAGAGCCTAACTGTACATTCACAGAAGACCTCAGCACGAAGACGGGAGGGTTCCTCTCCCCTCAGAGGGCCGCTCGCCCGGCCACGCTGCCCGGCCCAGCCCTACGCCGCCAAGYGCAAGGAGGCCACATTAAACCATGAGAATCATCAGGGGGCACAACGAGATGCTAGCGCAGCGAGAAAACGATCGGAGGAAACCCCAAGATTTTTCTCCAGCCACAGGTTTAAGGGAAATGCTTAGTATGGGGTAAAAGCAGGGAAAACCAGGAGCAAAGGGCTCACAGAGCTCCGTTCTGCCTCACTGGCAGGCAGGACACACTAGTATTGCAGCAGTTTTCCACCTGCTGCCCGACCTCTCATGGTGGAAATGGGGTTTTTGCGTTCTTAGAAGTGACCCAAAAATCCACTTTGGGAGATAAATCCCTGGCTTGCAGTGCATTTCATATATATTTTTTAAGACTAAGTCGCATTTTGGTGACGTCTGAGACAGAGCAGCAGCTGCTCAGCCTCCGCAGCGACTCCGCTCTCCAAGCCCCCAGTTTTCCTCCTGAACCCCGGAAAATTCCAGGAGCAGAAACAGCTCAACCGAATGGATACAGCCGCTTAACCAATAGGCAAACACCCCGCTCGAGCACGGAAGCGGGGCTGAGCTAACATTTTATAATTAGCTAACATTTTCCATGGCCTTTTCCCTCACGAGACACGTGACCGCGTGGCCACTGAAGCGCAGCGGGCAGCGCGGCGGGCACCAAGGCCAAACTCTGCTTTGACTTCCTTGCAGCTCCCATGGAAATATTTATGCAAAATGCCTTTGCTTAAAGTAAACAAATAGGTCTGCAGAGCAAATAAGTCTTCTGGTTGAAGCCGGAGCACCCACAGGGCAACAGGTTTCTCCTTCACCCTCAATTTTACCRTTTGCTCCATCGGCAGGGTGGAGGAGAGGTTGGGAATTCTAGAAAACAGAGGCACTCGCATGGAGAGCGGGGCTGAAGGATGCAGCAGGCCTTGCAGAGCTGAGCAAGTATCCAGATGAAGGGGCACGAGGCCCATGGGAGGGGGCTGCTCCAGTGGGAATCACTGCTGGAACTGGCCTGGGCTCCGATTCACTCGGCAGCTTTCAGGGAATTGGTGGTTTGGGCGATAGGAACCTGAGCTACCAAAGCCTGAGCTCCCCAGCAGGACTGAGGAAGCTGCCAGCAATGCAACCGAGGCCACTCCTGGCAGATCTACCCCATGGAGAGCAGGGTGTGGAAAAGCCACCAGGGTGTCTGCTCCAGAACCTGCCTCGGGACCTCAGGAGATCCCTGGGACAGAGAATCCCGCCAGTGTGGACACCCGAGCAACGGGGTCCTGCAATCTGGGGTTCTGTCCTATTTAAGGTACCCAACATGAGCCAGGGCAGGTTTTTCAGCCTCGGCACATTCTTTTTTCACCTCCTAGCCTGAACATTACGGCAGGTTTTGTAAAAGGAAGTCTGCAAGCACCAAAATGAGAACAGCAAGTTAGAGCCCATGCAGATGATCATGGGGGCAGGAGACACCCCAACAGGAGCCCCCTGCATCCCCTGCCCCGGGCCTCCCTCCAATGCCRTGTTTCAGGATCCAGTAACATAGGAGCTTCCACACCCCCCGCCTCACCATCAAAGACGGCAGCGTCATCCTCAGTCAGGAGGTGCTCGTTAGAGAGCAGATAGAGATGGTCCACCATGGAGCAGGGCATGAGGAAGGACAGAGAGCCCTAGGAAAAGGAGAAGCCCCTCCGTTGAGCCCCAAACACCCTCTCCTCTGCCAGCAGCAAGGCCCAGAGGCTGCAATTCCCCGGCCAGAGGGCCCACGTGCACCGCCTCACCTTCTTGAGCAGGCACACCATGCCGGTGTAGGGGTTCAGGTGCAGGGCCAGGGGCCGCGAGAGCGCCTCCTGGTACTGAAGGCAGCAGGCGTAAAACTTGGACCAGAACTCCACCTGCAGCTGCCAGAACTCGTCCAGGGAGCATTCGTACTCTGTGACGCTGCTGTGGAACTGCAGGAACCGGGACAGGGTCGCGCATGAGCATGGGCAGGGAGCAAACACTGCAGTTCCCTGGCTCCAGTCTTGTCCCCCATGAGCAATAGGACACCCTTGCCTGGCTGAGGATTGGGTTTTCCCTCCCCATGGAGGAAACAGCAAGGGAAGAAAGCCCACAAGAACCATTCTCATACAGTCCTATCTAAAGGGGCACCAATGGTGCCAAAACATAAAGCAGGTCCCTTAAAAGCATCACGCAARAGAGCTGTTAAGAGGATATGTGAAACTGCCTTCTTTCTATGAATTCCTTAGCAAAACTCCCAGGATGAGCTGCAAACAGGAACGCACGAGCAACAGGTGATGGGAAAAGTCTCACCTCGCTTTCCACAGCCAAGGTAACCTCCCTTTTTAACTCATCCCACGTCAGATCCAAGTCTCTCTCAGCTCCTTGAGAAAAGATCTGAAAAGCAGTGGAGCCAATTCTCAGTTGAGGCCACGAAACCACGAGGCAGCAGCAGGCAGTGCCTTGCAGGGCGCCCCTAACATGGGGGTGGAAAGSGGGCAGGCAGCAGAGGCCTGTGCCCTGGGGCAGTGGGTGCTGCCCCTCAACACCCTCCTGTCCCTCCTAGGGCTTTGGCAGGAGCCCCGGGGGAAGCTGAGCGGGCAGGACATCCCACACGCTCGCACTGACCTGTAGAGCCTTCTGGATGGCAGCGTGTGTGAAGCGGCCGGGCATGAAGATGTACTCCAGGTAGGTTTCCTAGCACAGGACACAGAGGTCACAGGGACAAACGCCACACAACCAGCATCTCRAAGCACCCAGGTCACCCCCAGACCCACGCTGCTTCGCAGCCCCAGTTCCGAACCCGCCACCTGCTCCAACCTCTCCCCCTGCCAGTTCCCGTGACCCAACGCAGCTTCCCACACACTCCAGCTGCTGTCTGTGTGTTTTGGAACCGACTTGAAATTCTCCTCTTCTCTCAGCTTCCACCTTAATCACCACACTCAGGGCTTTAACACCGGGCTAACAGAGGCTGAGTTTTGTCCCCTTTAATTTGGGGGAATTCTCAGAGGGTAACAAAGGCCACAACTCAGAATAAAGCCATATAGTGTAGGCTTGAATCATTCTACTGTTCTGCTCCCGGGTGGGGAAGCTTCGGGACTTCTTGTTTTTCCTCACCCTGGGGTCCTGATCGTGTCGAACCGTCACTTCTTCTTCAGGCAGTGGCTGCATGAAGACCTGGTTCCACTGGCCAGCAACATTCCTGGAAGAAGGAAGGGCAAAAGCAAACAGCAATAAATCCCTGGAATTTGCTTCACCACACCGCCGCATAGAGCCTCTGTGTGCTGTCACCTGAACCCAACCTGTCACTGTCACCAGTCAGCACCCAATTTAAAGCAACTATGGCCCTTTGGCTGTGTTAGCAAAGCGACCTCGACCGAGTGACAGAGGTGGYCCGCAGGGCATGATGGTGGCATCTCCGTTCCTGAGCTAGCATGACGGGCTGGATCCTTGAGGAGGCTCCTCCACACAATCCCCTCAATTTACTTATTTATAGACGGTTTTATTTATGTATTTATTTATTTAGATCAGTGTCCGCTCCTTCACAGCTGCTCGTCAATTAACCCTCCCCAGTCTGACCAGGGGATTCTTCTGCCTACACAAAAACATTCACAGCACTTTTACCAAGTTATTTAATTCCCTGTTTCAGCTTATGCTTGAGAATAAATATATTAACTAACATTAACTAACTAATAAAAATCGACCYTCCCACCCCTATAAGCTGACACTGTCACGTCACTGGGCTTTTCAAAACAGGCCCTTTCTGGAAAGGGCCCGGCCGCCTTTGGGGGAGCGGTGAGGAGGGCACAGGCCTCCCCCCGAYGCTCGCAGCAGATTCCACCCCCAGCAGCCCGCCTGCCTTGCTGCATTTTTCACATTCCTGCAGTGCAGCCTTAGCCTTATTAGAAAGCAAGAGCATAAATAAATAAATAAATAAAAGGAAAGAAATCCAAGTAATCCGCGCTGCAGGAAAGCCCGGCTGTGCGTGTGACAACCCGCGGCAGGAGGAACCGAGCGCCGCTGCGCCTTGGCCTGCCCCAGGCCCGCAGAGCAGGAGCACGCAATCCCCTGCAGCAACTCACTGCTCAAAGTTGATGTATTTCACAACCGTTTGGTTCTCCTCGTTGTGCCATAGTGCCCAGATCTCAGACGAGGTTAAGGCAAAGTCAACCAGGGTCTCCTGAAAGACAACAGCACAGATTAGCTTTCTGATCAAACATTCAGTGCAAAGTTAACAGTACCACAGCAACCCCTTGACTCATTTAACTATCACCAGACAACCTTGTTTCTTCACAGCAAAGCCCTAAAGGCCCTTGGGGGACCCTGCCCTGCTCATCGAGCAGCCCTTGTCCTTCTGTTGCCACGAAGTGTGGAGAGAGGGGGGTGCGAGCACTCACCTGCGAGCAGAAGAGCGAGGACACATGGTCCAGGCTGTAGTGGTTGCTCTCAGTGCTCACCAGCTGGAAGACGCAGAACTGCACACACAGAGACACCTCATGAGCACCTCGGTGGGTGTGGACCAGCCCCAGGCACCAGGGAGTCCCCGGGCACCTGCAGCAAGGTGGGCCCAGGCCGACGTGTGCATCCTACCTGCCCTCGCTTGGGCGCGTGCAGGTACACGCCGAGATAGAGCCCCAGGGCTGGGGAGAAGGCCAGGCGCAGGCGGTGCCCTGTGCCGGCCGTCAGCCGCAGGTCCCTGCTGACTGGCACGAATTCCAGGAGATCCGCAACCATCAGGCACGTTTGGTCCTGCCCAAAACAAAGACATCGGTCAAGCAGCCAGGAAAATAGAGCCTTGAGAGACCACTTTGTTTTCTCCCCTTCCCTCTAGGGCTTGTGCTCTGCCCCTTCCCCTCACAGGCCCAAGTCACTCCCTGTGGACACAGCTAAGCCAGGCCAAGAGTAGCTATTGGAAAGGCGCTCGGTGTTGACGGAAGAGCCGCTGCAAGGAGAGCATCCACACGCGTCCCCAGGCTGCTCTGCCAGCTTTTCCCACCTCCCGCAGGGCATGGGCTCCCAAAGCCCAGGCACGCAGGATAAAAGCCTCGCTCTGCCCCACTGCACATTCCAGCACCCTGAGCCATGAGTGCAGCCATGCCTGGCCGATTAACCGCAGCACCACACTCGGGCGRGCAGCGCCGTGCCACGCTGGGGCTCTCCGCAGCCCCTCGCTGATAAGGAGTCAGGTACAAAGACGCTCCTGCCGCCTCTAAAACAAAGGGGAACGCGCTCGGCTTTCCCATCCCTCGGCGTGTCCYTGCCTGCCTTCCCCAACGCTCCGGGCTCTGCACTGGGTAAAAGGCTCTGCCGTACGGAAAACACGTCCACTTTCCGAACAGAACCGCGAGCAGGAGCTACAACAACCCCCACGTGCTGCCCAAATCCCAGCGAGGAACAGGCGACCTGGTGACAGTTWAACACCGAATCACATCTCCACTGGTCACCCGGCGTCTGTTTCTCCAGCTTTGGAGCAAACAGGTGGCCATGGAAGCTGTTCCAGGCCTCGCTTACCTTGTAGGACCACATTCGGAGCTTATGGTCCTGGCAGAGAGCGAAGAGAAAGGCATCGTGATCCAGGCAGTGGACAGAGAGGCTGACGGGCAGGTCTGACGGGCCACAGTCGCCTCTGGAAAACAAATATTTGAAAGGAATAAATAGGGACAGCCGGACTGGGCACTCCTTCCCAGCACGGAGCTGAGGGAGGCAGCGACACGAGTGGTCCCAGCCACACTCCAGGGACATTCCAGCCCCAGCACAGGGGGATTCGCTCCCATTTCCGCACGACAACCAGGGCTCAGGAGGTGGTTTTGCCCTCCCAGGCACCCTAACACCTGCAGAGCTAACGGAGTCTGCAGGCACATGGTTCAGCCGGTGGCCCCACATATCGACTGCCCAGGAACGAGCCCGGAGCCTCAGAGCGAGGACCACAACAAACAGCCGCTGAGATCCCCAAGCTGCCCGGCCCRCGAGCTGCGTCCTGGATAAACCCTCAGCGTCCAGCAGCTCCCAGGGCACTGCCAGCACATAGAGCCACATATAGACATTCACATACATGTTCACAGGCACGCAGGGCCAGCAGAGCCSCAGCGAGAGGAGTAACCCAGCAGTGAAGTCCCAGCTTGGGCGCTGTGCTGACCCCAGGCCCACATTAACCTAAAGCATTTACAGACACCGACTTCTTCACATTTACCTTCAACTGCAGCTCAGAGCACAAAGGGCCTCCACACGAGGGAATAAATCATTTTAGAATAACAGAAACGTACTTCTTTGTCACTAAACACCAACCTGATGGCAGTTGGCATCCAACCAGTAAGGAAACGCTGCACCACTGAGCTCTGCTTCAGCTCCACAACCGAAGGTGTCCCTTTCAAAACAAACAAATTAAAATATAAACACCGCATTAAACAAGATATCAAGCACTGCTCAACAAGAGAGTTGACTCCCCTCAACAAGGCACTTTACAAACCTCTCTGAGGAGGGTGTATGTGCACGTATATGTGTAGTGAAATGCCAAGAAATGTCCCAAAGGAGCCAAATGGGCTGGGTGTGTGGGCACTGCCGTTTCCCGCTCCTTACCAGGCGCATCATGGGGAGGCAGCCTGAGGACAAAGATTCCCCCCGTAGCCGAGGGAAGGGCAAAGAGGGCCTCTCCGTCGCTGCTAAGCCAAGCCGCAGAGGCGACAGAGTTGGGCGCCAGGCCCGGCACGCTGGGGATCAGGCAGTAGTTGGAAGGGTCTCGGAAGTTGATTTTGCCAATGTCTGTGAATACCGACTGCACTTGGCTCTCTGCTATCAGCTCCTAGAAATGGAGAACAGAGGAATGAGTACAAATCCCAAACTTGTGTACACACATCCCTTGTCACAAAAGAACCCAACCAAACAGCTCTGCAAAAGCAGCTGCCTCAAACCACCTGACCTGGAGTCGGGAACTTCTTCAAGGGGCGCCCAGACTGGACGCCGCCCTGCAAATGCCCCAAACCCTATTCCAACGGAGCCATCCAGGGTGACTAAAGCAGACTCGCACGAGGTGAGGGGCCGCCAGCTTTCCCTCCCAGACYGACAGATACTTTTTCCAGAGGGGTTTCAGCTCGGACTCCTGTGGGCCCACGATTCCTGGGCTGGTGCGCGAGTCAGGCGCTGTCCAACATGGCAGCCCGGCTGGAGAGGCGAGGCGGGCACCTGAGCAGGGCAGGGGCTCTGTGGGGCGCTCATAGACCCACAGAATCCTTAAGGTTGGAAGGGACCTCCAGAGACCTAGTCTAAGGCCTAGTGCTACCCCCTGCACACGCAGGATCACCCAGAACAGGGGGCACAGGCTGCATCCAGGCGGGTTTGGAAGCTCTCCACAGAAGGAGACCCCACAGCCTCTCTGAGCAGCCTGTTCCAAGGCTCCGCCACCCTCACTGTTAATAACTTTCCCCAAAGTCCCAGCGGAGCTTCCAGTGCTTCAGCCCATGCCCGCTCCCTCCATCCCCATCAGCAGCCACCACGGAGCGGGCACCCCGGTCCCCCCTCTAACG